CAAATAAACAGCAATTTCAATTTTTCCCACATTTGTAAACAGGTAGCAATCTCAAGTTTTACCACATTCGTAAATAGGCACCAATCCCAATTTTTCCCACAATCATAAGTAGGAACCAATCTAAATTCTTCCCACATTCATAAGTAGGCACCAATCTCAAGTTTTCCCACATTTGTAAGTAGACACCAATCTCAATTTTCCCATATTCATGAAAAGGCATCAATCCCAATTTTCCCACATTTGTAAATAGGCACCAATCTCAATTTTCCACATTCATGAGAAGGCATCAATCTCAATTTTCCCACATTTGTAAATAGGCACCAATCTCAATTTTCCCACATTTGTAAATAGGCACCAATCTCAATTTTCCCACATTTGTAAATAGGCACCAATCTCAACTTTCCCATATTAATGAGAAGGCATCAATCTCAATATTCCCACATTTGTAAAAAAAGTATTGAAATCAAACATCAAATGATGCAAGAATGCATACAGTAGAAATTTGGCAAGTTATATGTAAGGGGGCTACAAAGCAGCAAAGACACAGAGAGTCTAAGCTGAGAAAAAGCAGACCCCTATAATTATTTTTATAGACTTTAACCATGCATCAAATGATAATAACCCTTGTAGGAGTACTGTGATTTTCCACATAAGCCACCTACGCAATTTCAAAGGATCAACAGACAGCCAAGAATAATTACAGCACCTTTGTATTTCAAATTCAAGCCTCTAAATCAGTCTCAATTTTTTCACATAGGTAAACCATCTCTTAGGCGTAAAGAAATCAGCGGTTTTTTTTTTTTTTAAATTTCTGACATCCCTAAATAGGCATCAATTTTAATTTTCCGCATTTGCAAATAAGCAGCAATTTCAATTTTTCCCACATTTGTAAACAGGTAGCAATCTCAAGATTTACCACATTCGTAAATAGGCACCAATCTCAATTTTTCCTACAATCATAAGTAGGCATCAATCTAACTTCTTCCCACATTCATAAGTAGGCACCAATCTCAAATTTTCCCACATTTGTAAGTAGACACCAATTTTCCCACATTCATGATAAGGCATCAATCCCAATTTTTCCACATTTGTAAATAGGCACCAATCTCAATTTTCCCACATTCATGAGAAGGCATCAATCTCAATTTTCCCACATTTGTAAATACAGCACCTTTGTATTTCAAATTCAAGCCTCTAAATCAGTCTCAATTTTTTCACATAGGTAAACCATCTCTTAGGCGTAAAGAAATCAGCGGTTTTTTTTTTTAAATTTCTAACATCCCTAAATAGGCATCAATTTTAATTTTCCGCATTTGCAAATAAGCAGCAATTTCAATTTTTCCCACATTTGTAAACAGGTAGCAATCTCAAGATTTACCACATTCGTAAATAGGCACCAATCTCAATTTTTCCCACAATCATAAGTAGGCACCAATCTCAAGTTTTCCCACATTTGTAAATAGACACCAATCTCAATTTTCTCACATTCATGAGAAGGCATCAGTCTCAATTTTTCCACATTTGTAAATAGGCACCAATCTCAAATCTTCCCCCATTCATGAGAAGGCATCAATCTCAATTTTCTCACATTTGTAAATAGGCACCAATCTCAACTTTCCCACATTAATGAGAAGGCATCAATCTCAATTTTCCCACATTTGTAAAAAACGCATTGAAATCAAGCATCAAATGATGCAAGAACGCATACAGTAGAAATTTGACAAGTTATATGTAAGGGGGCTACATAGCAGCAAAGACACAGAGAGTCTAAGCTGAGAAAAAGCAGACCCCTATAATTATTTTTATAGACTTTGACCATGCATCAAATGATAATAACCCTTGTAGGAGTACTGTGATTTCCCAAATAAGCCACCTACGCACTTTCAAAGGATCAACAGACAGCCAAGAATAATTACAGCACCTTTGTATTTCAAATTCAAGCCTCTAAATCAGTCTCAATTTTTCACATAGGTAAACCATCTCTTAGGCGTAAAGAAATCAGCGATTTTTTTTTTTTTTAAATTTCTGACATCCCTAAATAGGCATCAATTTTAATTTTCCGCATTTGCAAATAAGCAGCAATTTCAAGTTTTCCCACATTTGTAAACAGGTAGCAATCTCAAGTTTTACCACATTCGTAAATAGGTACCAATCTCAATTCTTCCCACATTCATAAGTAGGCACCAATCTAAATTCTTCCCACATTCATAAGTAGGCACCAATCTCAAGTTTTCCCACATTTGTAAGTAGACACCAATCTCAATTTTCCCACATTCATGATAAGGCATCAATCCCAATTTTCCCACATTTGTAAATAGGCACCAATCTCAAGTTTCCCACATTTGTAAATAAGCACCAATCTCAATGTTCTCACATTTGTAAATAGGCACCAATCTCAATTTTCCCGCATTCATGAGAAGGCATCAATCTCAATTTTCCCACATTTGTAAATAGGCACCAATCTCAACTTTCCTACATTAATGAGAAGGCATCAATCTCAACTTTCCCACATTAGCAAATAGGCATCAATCTTAATTTTCCCACATTTGTAAAAAAGCATTGAAATCAAGCATCAAATGATGCAAGAACGCATACAGTAGAAATTTGGCAAGTTATATGTAAGGGGGCTACAAAGCAGCAAAGACATAGAGAGTCTAAGCTGAGAAAAGGCAGACCCCTATAATTATTTTTATAGACTTTGACCATGCATCAAATGATAATAACCCTTGTAGGAGTACTGTGATTTCCCAAATAAGCCACCTATGCAGTTTCAAAGGATCAACAGACAGCCAAGAATAATTACGGCACCTTTGTATTTCAAATTCAAGCCTCTAAATCAATCTCAATTCTTTCACATAGGTAAATCATTTCTTAGGGGCAAAGAAATCAGCGGTCCGCAGCAAATCAGCAAAACAATTGAGAACAAATATAATAAGGGTGCCAGGAGAAGGAATTTACGATCGAGAAGTAGACGATTTCCAAGCATCAGTAAAATCGAGAATATCATATCAAACTAAAATGTCAAGAGTCAAATCCAGAAAAATGCTAGGGATCAGCGAGGGACGGGAAATGAATAGTAAATAAAAATGGCTTCTTTGATTTTGGAGAGAAGGAAAGTGTCCGACACATACCCCAAAATATATATACAGACATACCAGAAATATATATATGTATATATATCAGGAAAGTCGAACACAGAAAAAAGTGGTAAAGAAGACCCCCAAATGCGAAAAACGTCTACCGTTGCTCAGCCGAGTCACCCACCCACTGTTTCACCGTCATTGTATGCCTAGCACCGTCCTTCAAGAACGTTTCACGGTCAGGGGACTAATAATTTGTCCCGCGCCCGCGAAGTCGCCACCTCAGAATGACCGTTGGGACTTGGAATTAGGGTTTTTTTAACTTTCCATTTTTGGGCCAAATGGCGGTTCTGCGCTGAAATAAAAATTAAATATTTATCAATTGCATTCTTATGATAATTATATTAGCGCTTATAAAATACTACTATCATGTTTATTTATTTTAAAAAATCTACAAATCATGGTATTCTCCGTAAAAATATATTTTTACAATGTATCGTATTTATGTATTTTTAAGAAATTTTAGAATAAATTAGAATTTTTTGCTAATTATAATTATTTATATGTAATAAGTAAAAAAGTTAACACTTTCAATGAATATATTCTATTGTAAAACATGTAACATACTAAATTATATATGATTTCTTTTTGTAAAATGTTACTTGCCTCCTATAAATCATTATACATTCTGGTTTTATTACTTTTTTTTTTATCAACAAAAGTTTTCCTCTTTTTTTTTGGGACATGAACCAACAAAAATTTACTTTGAAATCAAGAAAGCGGGACATGACGTCATAAGAAAGAGCACAAAAAAATAAAAATATATGTTAAATATTTTTATTTTAATTTTATTCATTCGTTACTCTCTCTCTCTGCCTGCCAGTTATTGAATAAATATTTTTAAGACATTTAAAAGAAATATAATTTAACAGAAAAAATGAAGTAAAACAATCTAAGTATACTTATTTTATAAATTTTAATTTTTATTATTTTTCATGTAAAGCTTTAAATAATTTAGAACTTTTAAAAATTAAAGTTTTTCAAATTCAATAGTGAGTCATCTATAATAATATATCTAATATATATTTTAATATTTAAAAAATTATAATTTTCGATATTCTTCAATGCACAATTTTCTATGTTTAAATGGTTAGATATATTTATCTTATCCAAATAATCCGCTACTCTTCACCAGTTAATATGCATGGACACGAAGCCATCATGAGTAAGAAAATGGTAATTTCATACATCTTAATTATAACAATAGGGACAAGTTCACATTCTAATGCAAACAAAGCAGAATTTTGTTTTGAGTATATTTTTCAGCCCCTATTTCACCATGGTTGAGCTTTATATAAATATATATATGAGATATTCATGACAAAACAATAATCATTCGATCTTCAATATAGGACCTAATTATTAAATTGATTTTTGTTCTAATTATAAGACATACTTCTTATTTATTAATTTTTTCTAAATTACCCTTACAAATACTTTCTCAACCATAATCAAGTAGAAGAGGGAGAAAGAATATTAAAGAAGATGATTATGATGTTTTAAGAAAAACATCATATTTTTTATAATTAACTAACTTACCCTACTTCCTTCCTGATCAAATTAGTTAAACAGGTCTTATATTAAGAAATTGAAGAGTATCATTTTTGTATTAAGCCTAAGGTATTTACTGCTGATAATGATGATTAATCTCCCCCACCATGAACTTCCCAAAGAGACTTTAGTGTTAGTCACGGGACCTAAGTCTCCAATAATGATGTTTCTTCAAGTATTGAGAATTAAAAAAGTTATTCAAATTTAAATTGAGAACGTGATATGGTAGTAATCTATTGTATAGAAATTGGACAGGATTGAGAATTCTTTCTCAAATAAAAATAGTAATTGCTAAATGTACATAAAAAGTTTTTAACCAAAAAAATAAAACTCATATAAACCAAAAAATGTTTGAATCCTAGATTAATCAATGACGGTATCAAACACTCAATGAAGAGAGGGAGTCACAAGCATCAAAATGCAGGGCCGCTAGTCCCTTGACATCCCTTCAATGCCATTTCTTTATGGTAACTTCGTTAAGGATGACGGGGACAAAAAGCCTTCCGTGCTCCCCTTAAGAATTCTCTCTTACGGGCATAAAAGGTTAATAAAAAGGGTACTTATCCTCTTCTTTGGTCAGCCTAACGTGTTAAATCCGAAGTTAATTTTTGCCGCTGAACTTATCTTCATCGCTCCTTCACTCAGATCAAATTTTAAAAATCAATCAAATTAATCCCAACAGTCTTCAGTCGTAGTGGAGTCTCCACTTGTTGGAGAGGAGCTACTTCCGTTACATCTTTCTTCTGCTTCTTCTGGGGGATGACAAATACATACTACCACATTCCCTAAAGACAATACCATATTACCACAGCCAAACAAAATGAATACATTAGTTACTGGGAGGAAAGGGGAAAAAAAAGTATACAGTAGTGACATATTTGGTAAATTATATACACACTTGCCACGCCAAACAAACAATTAGGAAAAAAAAAAAAAAAAAAGAAAGAAAGAATAGTATATGCAAAATTGAAAGTGGCCATTTTCATGGTGCAATCTATCCTTTGAAAAAAAATAATTACTAGATACTAACGCAGAAGCACATCTGTTTCGGAATTGGGAACAACAGGAGCAAATCCTCTCCCTCCAAAAACAGGACGCATAAATGAATCGTCGAAGATTCGCCAATAATGATGAACAGCACGATTGGAATCAAGGGGATTACCGATGTCAACGTTAGATTCGGAATCATGCCCGCTGGAGAGTAATGGTAGAGTCAAACGCTTACTGGGTAATGAATCTGAATCCGTTGAGATACCCGAATGCCTAGGGGGATTCAATAATAGCCTCATCAGAGGCTTGGTCAATAATCCTCCTACCTGCGTTTGCCCAGAAAATTCCCAGGTTAATAATGCCATCACATCTGGACATTAATCTTATTGCAGAACAAAGTCTAATGCCTTTAAAAGACAAAACTTCGATTGTTCATATGTATATGTGTGTTTGAGTGTGTGTGTGTGTGTGTGTGTGTGTAAGAATCTGAAAGCAAAGACCCTAGAATACCGCATTTGAGCTGTGGAAATTCAAATGGGCACTCAGTTACCAACAATTCTTACCACATTAGTTAAGAGAACAACTATGATGGTGCTGGTAATCATGATGGCATTTCCGGGCAGTTGAGTATGTCCTGATCTAGTAAACTGCGCATATGAAAAGTTACAAGCTTTTAGCCTTGTAAAAGATAAAATGAAGAGAAATATAAACAACTGGTCACAGTTCTCCAGTCTTACTTGGTGACGGCACAAAACTCATTATTGTACCTTATTGTATGCAAGTGCCACAGATACAGCACCACGCATGAGCCCAGCCCACCATATCACAACCTGTTTCATCATGCATAATTATTTCAGAACTGTTGGTCAGGACGTTTTTTTTTTTGGGGGGGGGGGGGTGGGGGATACCTCAAAGCACTTACCTGCTGCTTGAATGTAATTTTCTCGGTGTTAGACTTCCTAAATAAATTGGCTATGCTTGACAGGGGAAACACAAAAGCTGCTCTTCCAAGGAGAACCAAGCCTAGCAGCATTCCACTTGCTCCAACTAATGTCCAAGGACTTGAAAAGAATAGAAGTCAAATTACAATATTGCTTCCTCACGCCAGAGGTACAATATGTACAATTTTTCTTTGATAAAATACTCCACTGGAAAATGTCATTACAAGGTTATAGGACAACTTTGAAATAACGAAGTCTCAAACCAATACCTCTTGCTGGCAAATTTCCATTTTTCAATGTCCAAGGCATCCATGCCGACATATAAGAAGATAAAAATCTCAGAGACAAATGAGAAAGTTGCAAAAGCATGCCTAGAAGTACAGATAAACATCACAAGGAAGATGGTTAGTTTTGCTATTTTATTGGAGTTTAACGAAGGAAAAAATATCATCTACACTAGCAAATCATAGCACCTAATATACCTGCTTGTAACTTTAGAACAATCAGAAACATTATGCCAAGTGTAGTGTGACATGGCAATCCCACAAAAGAACACGGTAAGGATCCCACTTAAATTAACAAGCTGGAAATTGAAGTTGCCAACGTTTAGATTATGAATATACTGGGCTGTTAAAAACATGCATAAACTGGAGAAGTGCTGACAAAATTTATAGCATTAGAATACTCACTTCAGCCAACATATAAGATAAATAAGCCATCAGAAGCATAAGAGCAATTTCTCGATCTGTAGAATGCCTGCAATTGAGTGTAAATTTTGTAGGTTCAGTTTTCGGCAACAAGATATTATAACAGCTGGAGCATGCCAATTTTCTGCTGATTACAGCAGGGAAGGACCTAATCTAAGCCAGTCAGATGAACGTTAAATCAATAAATAGCATCAGTCCTGAGTTGCTAATGCAAAATATCTGGCACAAGAATAAAGACTCGTTAAAGGCAGGTGAACAAGGTAATTTCATTGACGGGTTAAGAGCAGGAGTGGCCATTACATGTGATCATATTCAATGGAGTGGTCTATAAATTCTTTATTAGTTGCTGACTAAGAGAAATAAAGCATGACAAGAAAAAGACAAATGAATGAACCAGTGTAGAGAAATAAAGGATGACAAGAAAAAGACAAATGAATGAACCAGTGTAAAATAACAATGAACTAGTACCTGGCAAAACACAACTTCTTTATAATATATGCACTGATCAAGCCAACCTAAAAGATCAGAAATATAGGTTTGTTAAAAGGGAAAAATATAGGAAAGGCAAGAGTTTTCTTAATCCAGCAATCAAATGCAACTACTCAAGGATTTCCACAAAACAATATGGTGAGTATATCTGCCGGCAAAAGATTTTCAAATCCCAGGCTTCTATCTACATTTATACTTGTCAGTTTGTTTCTGTGGGTGTTGTCGATGTAGGGCATGAATGATACTAAGAAAGAAAAGAGGCAAAAGTAATCCAGCTACTGATAGAGAAAAAGGAGCAGCACAATTGTTGTCTGATTACAGTAATTAAAAGGCAGGACAGTAGTTCTCATTCATAAGCCAGTATGATGCCGTATATCGACCATGATTACGAGCATGCTACCATCTAGAGAGGAATAAAAGGAAAGAAAAAAAATTAAAAGCCAAGGACATACCCCTACTCCCAAAAAAGTGCTGAACAGGAACAAATATAAGAAATTGCCAAAAAACTGCAAGATATTGACCGAGGTGATATGAGAGAGGTCAAATCTCTGGATTGCGTTAAAAAGAACCACTGATGTTGCATCATTGACAACACCTTCGCCAAAAACTAAACTGTACAGAAGAGGTGTCTCTTCCTGATTAAGAACCTGCGACATCAGAATCAAACTAAGAAGCCGGTATCCAACTATTCAATAATATAAGCCCTCTACTTAGCAATTCAGGAGTTCATACCTGCAATGTGCAGACAGAATCCGTAGCTGAAAATACTGCCCCAAGTGCTACAGGTAGAGAAGAGAATAACAGTTACACAGACAAGAAGGAAACAATCAAACCTCATAATCTATTAGCTTTTAAGTGAATATGTTGCTTTTGAAAGGAAAGAACAAATTACTGTTGAACACGATATAATTAAGCATTATGTATAAAAACCATCTGGATGCCTGATTTAAGTTTGGATAAAAGAGAAACTCATGGGGGGAAAAAGAAAAAATAGGCTGCATATTTCCGAGGAAAAGAAAGAGAAAGCAATAATGCAACAAAAAAAAAAAAAAAAAAAAAGCTACCTCTGACATCCAAATAATTTTAAATGTTTTGGTTGCAGGTATAGTTATACTATTATAGTAAGTAGAAACCTTTAAATAGCAAAGACAAAGTTACCCAAGTATAAGATGCATCCAATATTAAAGGTGTAAGGTTAAGAAATACCAAAATAATCTCCCAGATCCAATATACCAATGTCTAATCCTTTCAGCAATTGAATTGAACCTGGACAACAATATTAGACGTTACAAACATGCCCAATAGTATATATGCACTGCCAAATAGAACAAGCCTATCATGCAAGTCTGGAAAAAAGAATAAGCCTATCATACTCAGACAGTTGTGTCAGGAAAAAGAATAGGAAGTAATTAAAATGACAATCTGTCTGACACATGAAAAGAAAACCCTCCATTGCCTGTTAAGTAATAACCTTCAAAATTAGTATTTTCTTTGAACAAATGCAACTGCTCTGTTTTGAACTTGTAATAACTAATGCTGTTATTTCCACCCAGTTTTTCCCCCCAATTTGAGATAGACTGAAACCAATTAAAATCGCAACACCAAAGGCCTAAGTTAATCTATATATTAGAGATTAAAACGCATTTTGAGTCTGCTAGGAAGATGCTCAGGCGTGACAAAGAAACTTTCTCACAATATCCAACGTTTAGATAAACATAATGTTTGAGCATACCTAGCGATATGATGACAAATGACATCATACTCCCAATAACACCATACAATATTATTGCCATGAAGTTCTTGAAAAATTGCTTCTTTTTCACCTGAAATCTGATAAAATATCAAAGAACCACACTTAGAAGCAGAAAGATTAATGGAAGCAAGAATTTTTTATTTGATAACCAACCAGAAGAAGATTGCTATAACCAACAAAAATCCCAAATTGTGCATTGGAGATGTACTTGGGGCTTTCAAGAAAGAAAATGCAAGTTTTCACATATAGCAGAAAAAGCAATACATTGAGAGTACAAACCGTAAGCAACAGGGCAGTTTTTTTTTTTTTGTGGGTTAGGGACAAGGGAAATTTATTTTATTGAATTCAATTACCAATATCGGCTTAAATTAACATTCGGTATGTACATTGACACATCAGTTCTACTAAATGATTAACATAGTTTCTTATACCTTCAATTGTTAAAATTGTCATAAAATATTTGAGCTCAACCTGTTTTATAAGGAATACAGCCAATGTTGTGCTAGTTGGTAAAGACAAAATCACAAAGGTAACTGATTTTAAAATCAGCATCATCCCCAAAATCATAATATACTCAATATGGTGACAAATGTTGAGTAGAAATATGCACCACAGTTTTTTAAGGCAAACTGAAACCAACCCAAAAAAAAGGTTCATGTTCTGTGAGTATGCACTTCGTCCATTTCACTAGATTTTTTAAACTCATATTCTGACTAACCCAAAAAAAAGCTCAAGAATCTAAGCATGAGTCGCACTGCCTAATTAAGATCCAAAAGCTACACAGAAGATTGGTGAGAAGAGGTGGATACAACATGGAGAACAAAACTTACCCTGCATTAAATATGATAGGTGGAAGAAGATATATGAAAAAAAGTTCTTCGCTAAACACTAAAATGCGTGAACTTTTCCCCTTAGTTGTTAGTAGAATGATAGTTCCACTTAAAAGGCCCTGAGAAAAAATGAAGGAAGAAAAGGAAAAAAACAAAAAAAACGTTACATGAAATATTATGCATCCTCACTTTTCGATAGACATAAATGACGATAAAGATCCTCAGAGATAATAGAGTATAGAAAGCCATCGTTGATAGATTCAAGTGTGCTCCTTACAATGAGTAATGCGATGACTGACTCAGTCATCCACCGGCTCTCTTCCAGAAGATGTCCAATCACAACACAGGAAAGCACGAGAACAACAAATAGTGTCATGGAATTTACAGAAGCATCTTCAGGGGAATCAAAGCTCCCTATTCGAGTGAAAAGGGAGTTCAGCATAGAAAGCATGGCAACACCTTCTCCTGTAACCAACTCAAGAATTAAGAATAGATTGAAGATACAAATAGTATAAAAGGAAGAAGAAAAAAAAGTGGGAGAAAATTTAGGCTCCCTTGCATAAGTCATGATGAAATTAAAGAATGAAAACGTCCAGGCAGAATCGCTGCCTAGGATTCGGCCAACCAAAAGAATCTGATTTGGTCTAACTATGGGGTTTCGTAATACACCAAAGCTCGACTAAAAATCATCTAGAATATTAACTAAATTCAGTTTAGTTGCAGGTCATAAGCTTATCCTCATTCATCTAGGAGAAAATCCCGGAACACGAAGCCATTCACTGAAACAATTAAACGAGAGAAAAAAAAGGCACATTGACTATGAGTTGTCATCTTTTGAACGCGGATTGATCATTTTTATTATCCTATCAGAAGTCAAAGAAACAAATTGAGTGATAAATTATCTTGAATCATATCCATGACCTTCAATTCTGATTCTTCGGTTTCCTAACAACCAAACGGAATGTACCCGCCCAGGGCCTCTCAAAATCAAACAGCTGAACATTTATCAGGTGAACAGTCATAAACACTCATCATGCTTCAAGCAAATAGGGTAAAGCTTAAAAAGCATACAGTTAACTTGTGACGTAAGATTTTGAGCGATCACCTGAAACTCCGTCGTAGTAGGTCCCCGGGAAGGGACAGGAGGAAGAGGTTGGAGAGGAAAACAGGGGAAGAGCTGGAGAGGAAGATGAACGGGCGCCAAAAAGAGCAACTAGTAATACATTGGTGGCAAAAGTTTAAGAACAAGAAGACCGATCTGGGCCGTCGATGTACGGAGGGCGGGACCCTCCAAAAATTACTTATTGTGTCTACGCTACCAAAGACACGTGGCAACTGAAAATTCTCGTTCAGGTTCAGGTTGGTTTTTGTATTTTCAGGGTTCAGGGTTTTATGTTGGGTCGTTGACTAACAGATGTCGCTAACAGATGTCGCGCGTGATTGAGAATATAGGATATAGACTCTACTGAATCCTCCTGTTTTTGTTTTTCTTTTACCAAACTCTCCTTTAGGTTATTATTATCATTCTTCCTGGCTTTAATTTAATACTCCTCCGGTCCTAATTATAAGACCTAATTAACTTATTTGAGGAAATTAAGGAAGTAAGTTAAGTTGGTTATTTATAATAAATAAGTGTTGTCATTCCTAAAATATCCTTGCTAATTAAGTATATTGGCTAAAACTATCATTATTAGAAGGATTATCTTGAAAAAAAATGCATAAATATAAGAGACAAAATGGATTGGGTCTTATAATTAGGACCAAATAAAAAGTCAAATTGGGTCTTATAATAAGGACCGGAGGAGTATAAGATCTATTTAATTAATTTAATTAAATTAAAAAAATTAAATAATTTAGTTAATTATAAAAAATATGACATATTTTTCTTAAAACACTATAATTATCTTCTTTAATATCTTCCTTTCTTCTTCTACTTGATTATGTTTGATGGAGTATTTATATGAGTAATTTAAAAAAAATTAATAAATATGATGAATATGTCTTATATTAAAGACTAAAATCAACTTATAATTAGGTTTTATATTAACAATCGGAAAAGTATTATTTATCATCCATAAAATCTAGAAGATAAGGTAAATATAAAAATGATTAATCTTCTTCTTCGTCCTTTTTCTGTAACGGAAAAAAAAAAAAAAAGGAGTCATGTACGTGATAGATGATACATCAGCCATCCACGTCAATATAAAATATATAAGTTAACTAACACATCACATATGTTAGGGTCTTTCTTTTCTTTTACATTGTGCATAATGCGGTTGTCAATTTTACATTGTTCAACAATTTTTATTTTTTTTAAATTAATTTTTTTGTTCCGTAACTAATAAAACTACCGGATTTAAATGCTCAGGATTCATGAGGGGGAGTTAGAAAGTTGGATTTTATTCATTTTAAGCTAAAAATCATATAAATCAAATCAAGTTTGTTTTTATTCCATTTAAAGATATAAGATCGACGTGGGGGTGTGAAATCTTTGATTTTATTTTGCAAAGAGACTAGTTTGATTTGATTGGGCTTGAATTAATCTGAATCTAGTGCTTTTTTTTTTTGTTTATATGATAGGACAATAGATTACTATCTACACTTACCTCGGGTATCATTCTAAATTATATCAAAATTATTAATAAAAATAATTTATTATGTTTAGTGATCTTTAAAGGTGCACAGCAATTACATCAAAACGTTGATTAAACTTTAAAGGCCATAAATGTTTCGTTTGTGTGTGTGTGGTGTTTTACTGGATAATCGAAAATATTTTTTTAATTTCATACTCTGATTATTTTCAGAAATTTAAATAGACATAATAAAATATTTTTTAAATTACAAATTGCACACAATGAATGATATGTTATATTCACGGATCATACTTACACTTACACAATTTTATGTCCTTTTAGCCAATAAAAATTTTAAATAGGGATTTTTACTAATTTTTCCAAAAATCTTTTAGAAGTAGCTTTTCTCAAAAATAAAATGTTTTTAATGAGAAAAGATTAAATAAGTTAGTCCTAATAAAGGCTTCTTGTCGTTCAAATCAAAAAACCAAATGAAAATTATTTAAACTGTGACATGGGAAAATCAAAGTAAACCGCGGTTCTATTGTTACTTTCTTCACACACATATCATCCATTCTTTTTAGCTATAAGCACAAAATCCATCGTTTAAATAATAGGTCAATTTTAAAAAATTTCAAAATGGACAGTATCTAATATGTTTTTCGTAAAACATCATAATCATTTTTTTTAATATCTCATTCCCTCTTCTACTTGATTGTGGTTGAAAGAATATCTATAGGGATAATTTAGAAAAAAAATTGATAAATATGAGAAATAAATCTTATATTTATAGTCAAAATCAACTTAATAATTAGGTCATATATTAAAAACGGGGGAGATAGTTAAAATAACAAGAAAAAGCTTAAACTATTAATTCAGACACTAGTTGAAATAAGATAACTATCATTCATCATACTCCTCCGGTCCTTAATATAGGACTCAATTCTTGAGTTGGTTTTTATCCTAAATATAAAACCCATTTATCATTTTTATCAATTTTCTCTAAACTACCCTTATAGATATTTTCTCAACCATAATCAAGTAGAAGAGGGAGAGGGGTATTAAGAAAGATGATTATGGTTTTTTAGGAAAAATGTATCGCTTTTCTTATAATTAACTAACTTATCTAACTTTTTAATCTAATCAAATTAGTTAAATATGTCTTATATTGAGGACCGGAGGAGTATATATAGCTTCTCAGAATCTGAACTTGTTTAAATCTTCATAAATCTTTTCATTTATTCACTGCTCTGATATTAAACTTATGCAATCATGTTCCTCACATGCTAAATTATTTAAATGTGGAGTTTAGATGAATGCACATGACTGCTTACTAATTGATAATATGGTGCAATAATTAAGCGTTCAAATTAAAAAAAATTAAAAATTCTCCATCTCATTGCCAAAATGGATTATAGTAACAATTTTCTCTGGCAACGTCGTTGGAAGCTCCAATTTGTTTTGACAAGATTGACATTGACTTTTAATTTGACGCCAAAAATATACTTTTGTTAGTGCTTTGATTATATATCAGTTTTTATTTTAGTCTCATAATTGTAAAAGTGTCTCTTCAGTCTTTAATCTTAATGCTATTAACAAAATAAAGTGTTGTTACATTAAGTTTAATTTCAAAATAATAATGGTTATAACGATAATAATAAGAATAGTTATAATAATAAGAATGCTAATAATTCTTTAAATTTAAGTGACGAAATCAAAATCTTATACACACCATGCCTAAGATGTTTTGGCGATAGAATATTCCTATACCAAAGCTTGGGTTATTTTTTTTCCTAGTACATGAAATACTTAATATATTTTCATGTTTCATGGCTTCCACGGCGCTTCAGCCCACGACTACGAGTCGGGTAACATTTATATTAACTGGAAAATCTAACTTTTGTGAGTGAATATTTATTATTCCATAACAAATTATAGAGGACAGCGCACATCATCACTTAAAATGAAGAGTTCATTGTTCAAGCGGCAGATCCTCAACAAAAACACAACGCATTTGTGAATTTAACAAGTTCAAATGCTTTATAACAATGTCGCATAACATATAGATTCAAAAGTACATTTCCTATTTTAACCACACACAAAAAAAAAAAGTGCATTTCCCATTTCAAGCATCAAAATGCAGGAATACAACCACACCAGATAATGAATACCGTAGATGAACGCACGTAAGCCGGCCCATCAGAAAGGACGTGGGCCACCTGGGCCCGGCGGTCCTCCTGGGCCTGGAGGTCCAAAAGGAGGTTGACCACCGAAGCAATCCTGGAGCAACCAGCAACAGCAGAGGCAATACAAGCTGCATTTTCCCCAAGCAACGGCAGAAGCATTATTTGAAAGAAATTTTTTGTTAAAAAAAAATTCTAGATTAATTTAACTATAGCTCAACTCACCAAGAAGATACCAAGCTGCAGATGCCGTTTGCAAATCCACCAAAGAAACCGCCAGGACCCCAGCCCGGACCTCCAGGTCCGGGACCCCAGCCCGGACCTCCAGGTCCCGGACCCCATCCAGGGCCCCCAGGTCCCGGACCCCACCCAGGGCCCGGACCAGGACCTCCAGGTCCACCGGGTCCGCCGCCAGGTCCGCCGGGTCCCATGACAAAACGGAGAGAATCTGAGTATGAAACAGAGTTACAGGATTGCACTGCAGTGAAGGATAGATGAGGGTAAAGGGATGGCTTCTTCACGTTATATAGGGAAGACAAGAAGAAGATAGTTGCGTGTTTTCTTCTTATCGAAGTAACAGAGTTTAAGAATGCTCGCCTAACATTGGATACGGCTTCTTAGGACGCAGCTACCCTTCAAAACCTACGAATCAAACATGCAGCTTACAATGGTCCGTGAAGATATTTTAACAAGTAGGAAACTCCTGAACTGACATTCTGGCAGGACCTACCAGTCAACTGGTAGCTTGTCATCAGATCTGGTGAAGTCGAAACCACTTGGGCCCAATAACAGGCTGCTCATGCCCCTACTACGTCGTATTGTTCTCCAGATTGGGCCTAGACCGAATGACTCTGGGCTCTGAAAAGTCCATTTGCATGGTGCTCGTCGTACTGGCGCATAAATGATGGAGTGGGGATCTGGCTTGTTGTTGCCGTGAACAGAACATGGCCGCCAGGGCTGTCATTAATATCAGCGCTTGCTTAATGAATTGCAGAAATGGGAATGTAAATGATGGGGGTAAAGAAAAGGATGTGTGAGGACAAAGTGAAACAGTGATGCTTGTTATTAACAACACCAGAGAGGCAGCGAGGCCACTCCATTAGGGAAATTGAAAGCTCTTGACGTGCCCCCCCCACTCTCTCTATCCACCACACACGTATTACATGGCGATGTTCCTTGTTCCCCCAAACAGAACTAAAATCGCACCCATCCATGATTTTATCTTTCTTTCCCTTTTAATAATACATACGATACATCATTCGGTTTATTTCTTCATATATATTATATATACACACACACACATATATATATAGAGAGAGAGAGAGAGGCCATGCTTTTATGTTTATACTGAGAAAAAGGTTCGAGTTTTGGGGGGATGAGCATGGGGTTAAAAGAGAAGGTTGGAAGGGTTTGGAGTGGGGCATGGATGTCCGGAGCAGATGATGGGCGGGTAAATCACAGCCATTGAGTCCACATCAGACGTGGACCCTATACGGACCCCACCCCCTTTATACGCGTACGCCCCGCACAAGAAATTCATCCCTTGAAACTTCACCATCCCCACTTCATCTTCTTCTTCCTTTTTGCTGTATTTTTGCAATATGGCAACTGCACAATAAATCAACTATAAAAAAAAAAAAAATCATTCAGTGGTCACAATTTACTTTTTATTCACAAGTCTCCTTTTCTTTTTTTTTGGCCCCGCTTTTTAGTTAGTTGCGTGAGGTGGGTGGTGTGGTCGCTGGGCATAAGGAAGGGGTCGGGGACTTTCGGAGGGTAGTTCCCAATCGTGGTCCCTGTCACTCCCAATGTTTATTCACACAATTTCTCAATCATATTTCAATCAAACACACTCGCGTAGTCATCCTTTTAATGGCCATATATCACAGAATTCGTTTTTCCCCACGCCAATTATTTCGTGCCAATCAGAAAGACATAGGAGATTGCATTTTCTGCTCTCTTTCTTTCATCAACTCAGAACGTACTAACGTGTAGCGTAACAGCTAGTTAATAAAGAAAAGAAAGGAAGGGAAGCAATGTGTCTGGGGCATGTGGAGAAGAAAGTAACAGGAAGGGGAAACAAAGTGGAAGAAGGAAGGATGAGAAAGGAAATGAGAAAAGGAGAAGTGGTGGGCATATTAGACTTGTCATGTTGTGGACAAACTATGAACAACCCTTTTAGGCTTTGTTTTCTCACTCTAACACACATAGCTAATGTAGGTTGGTACACACTTGCCTCAGCTATGCAGCAACCCTGCTGGCCTTTTTCACTGTGTTTTGTGAATCACAATGTTGTCAATCAGGGCGAAGAAGAAGGCCCAATTATTGAGGTTGGAGTTAGTCGTTATCCTTTCGGCAGAGGAGGTTGTTCATGTTAGGTGAATCTCACCTTTGACCCTCATCACATCCTTATCTTCTTAACCTGGCTTAATATATATATATATATATATATATATTTGTATAAAATACTCCTTCACCTTAACTTTAATGTAAATTCTTTAGCTATGTATAGTAAGAAAAATAAATAAATTATTTAATTATAATAAATATAACATAATCTTTTTAAAATAGCTATAATGTTGTCAGATCATTTATGGATTTATAAGTTTAATAAATTGATTTGAAAAACAAATAATAAAAAATTAATTCTCCTACTTCTACATTTAATACACGAAATGAGCAATATCAGTTCTATACAGCTAGCACCTTTAGAACGTGACTTTGACTATTCCGCCAATGAAAATACATGCCCAATTACAATCAACTTATTCCTGTTGATACACATGCCTCCCATCCAATGCCCACTTCACCAAAAGAAAAGAAAAGAAAAGGGGGAAAAAAGGGTGTGTACAAAATCCAAAAAGTCATAATCCCCCACCTTTTTTTTTTTTCCCGAATGCAAAATGGCAGGAAAGGAGGGTCGCTCATTCTCACGGAGTACAGTACCAATGGCGTACTGAAAGAGATAATTAGCAAAAGCCAGTTTATGACTTTACTGCACATGCATGCATGAAGTCCAAGCAGTTCTATTCATATCATGACTACTTATCTCATCCAAGGATCTTAAGGGATTTTCTCAAAGAGAAATGCCCACCAAATGAGATTTTTGACTTTTTTTATTTTGGGAAAATTCAAAAGTTCTCATCCATAATTAGATTACCAGAAGAGGAGGGATAGCTAGGAACATGGAATGTGGAACACTAATTATTACCTCTGGTTGTATTTATAAAACATCATTTATAAATTACAAACGAGATTTTATAATTAGAACCAGAGGTAGTATATATTAGGTGATAGTAGCACTAAGGTGCGTATGATCTTGTTTACAAGTTATTACTAGTAATTGTTTGTTTCTAATTTTAAAGTCTCAAAAAATATAGTCACATAAAATATTCCAAAAAAAAATGAGCAGCATGGACTTTTTTTTCCTCAAACGTACTCATCAATTATGAGACTTCTTTGGATAATTATTATAGGTATGCAGAGTAATTGCGTCCCTTAAAAAAAGGGTTTTTGTTTCCGATTAACTCAGGTTGTCATTAATATCCTAAAATTTTTTCCCTTAAACAAAAAACAAGAAGAAGAGAAAAGGACGGGGGAAAATCGGCGGTGCATATCTCCAATAATAGATTCTTAATTAAATTTGAAGGCTTTGTTGCATAACGTGGTTTCCAAATTCATGAATCATGAATAATGAGTCAATGAAACATAATATTTGTGAAGATTCTCTCCCATCTCAAGTGGGCTCCATATTATTAATACACTAACTATCATTTTTTTCATCTGTTCTGTAAACTCATAACGTGGTCAACAATGTTGGCCGTGCCTACGCATTTGACTCCAAAAATAAACTAGTAGGGCGTTCCAGGCTAATTAATCAGGATTAATCAAAATTGATATTTCATTTCACTTGTCAAGATCAATTTGATTGATTTGGACAATCCTTTAAACTAAATTAAACGATGAGATATTTTAAATGATGGTTAAATACTATATTAACTCACCACAGATATGATTTTTAAAAAAAAAAATCGTAACTCTCTTCTATAAGATCTTATTATACAACAGAAACTCCCACTACGAGTCTATGCCACCTAATGTCACGAATCATGATAAGAGAGTTATGACATGATACACAGTAAAAGTTCAATGTTCAATCCCCTTTAATATAATTAAAAAAGCATCAATATGTATACACTAATCCCATATACAACATGGGTACCGTAATAAAATGGTGATAACAAGAGGTTTTTTTTTTTTTTTACTTTTTTAAGATTTGAAAAAGTGAAACGAAAGACGGTCTTGGTCTAATGTAAAAAAATGCAGCTAGACGCAACATGTATGAGAAACAAAGTGTGTGTGTGTGTGTGTGTGTATATAGCACAGTTAATTAAAAAGATAGTTATTCCATATAATAATACGTATTAAAATATCAAAATTGATAAAGGAGGAAAATATAGTGACCACGCAACGAGTTTGAAAATCTCGTTTAGGGCAACTCTCAACAGATAATGGAAGATTCATACATCGAGTGCTACGTATGGGCATAATCTATCGAAACCTAAAACACCTATTAAAAAATAAAAATAATATGTAGAAGAATACTCAAAATAAATATTGGACATCAATTATAGATTTTTTGTTTGACATAACGCGTCATAAATCTTCTTCCATGCTTATGGTGTACTAACTCCATAGATCTTTTTATTTTGTTACATGCCCCATTTTTTCACGTGGACTGTACGTAAAAACATGCACACGCTCACATATACACGCATATAGATGGAAAGCTTCCATTTATACCCTCGACACTCTTTTTTTTTAACCAAACTCGACATGTATATGAACATTATAAGCTTTTTAATGTGGCAAATTGAAACCAAATGTTATCTCCTACATGTATTCCTTAAATCTCGTAGCCTTTATTAGGTTTCCGTCCCCTTAATATGTTACATATCATGAAGAGGAGATCTTGAGTTTGTTCGGACTTTTCTTGAATGCCATGGACATCACATTGTTGACTGTAAATGCCATGTGGCTGTAATATACATATGATGCCGTCTTGATTGCCACGTAATACTTAGTTGTCGTCCTGGATGCCTTTGTTGAATACTGGGTATCACCCGTGCTAAACTCATTGACAGAAAAGGAAAAAGGAATGGCCAACCCCAAAAAAAAAAAAAAAAAGGAAGGAGAGGTGAGGAATGAAGGGCGCTTGGGCTAATGAAAGGCCGAGCTGACCCCAAAAAAAAAAAGAACATGATAAACAAAGGAAGCTTTCTGTCACGTGCCGTTAATTTGTGTGATTGGTTGCACTTTCATTAGAAGACGGAAAATTATTAGCCTCCAATTACGTCCACCTCATGGCTCATGCGTATGCCCTCCCCTCCGACAACGTCGTTTTCCTCAAAATTGCCTTACCTGCCACTTTAGCCTCCACATGGCACATATATACAATTCCCTCTGCTTAATTGCATCTACTCCTCCTTCCCTTTATATGTATGCATATTATTTTTCTAATT